ATTTGGTGTATAAAAAAAAAAGCAGGCTGGTCTTACTATTATGTAATAAACTTTGTTATTTATACTTCTGTTATGCAGCTCTATCATATTTTATGGTTAAACTTTGTTCTTACTTTCTCATCTTTACAAATGAAAAGGATCAAGGAGCAAAGACAGCGCCACCACAGAAAGAGAACAACCCAGCTGAAACAGAGACAATAAAAAAAGACAAGGAAAAAAAACCCAGCAAGAAGGCCCCAGTTCCACCCCCTCCTCCTAAAGATGACTTTATGCCTCCCAAACCTAAAGGTACTACAATGCATTTATTTGTTATTAGTTTGAGCAGAGGTGGTCTTAGCAGCGTGCAAGGCCATGGGGGAATAAATTAATTTTTATCCAATGGGCTGATGGTGATAAAAGATTCTCTTTATTGCGGGATCCCAACAAGGTGTAGGGCATTGGGCTGTTACCCCACTTGCCACCCACTAAGGCCGCCTCTGGTTTGAGACTTTTTCAGACATTAAAACAATTCTTAACACAGTTAATAGGATTGTTTAAAATATAGGCAAAATACTGACAAGTATCAGTAGCTTTAAATATCTTGTAGCTATTGCCTCAGATGAAGGAACCAATGCAAAACTACTGGCCAGCATTGCACAGTGTACAGCAGCACTTTGTCAGAATTAGAGCTCAAGTCAAGTCCTCTTGATTGGTAGCCACTCAGCTATACATCCCACTTATTTGAATGCTTCTATAATCAATTCAAAGATGCGGTGGCTGAGCAGTAAATCGCTTGGCTCCAAACCTGGGGTCCCGGGTTCAAATTCTAGAGAAGACTGGGATTTTTAATTTTGGGATCTTTGGGTGCCTCTGAGTCCACCCAGCTCTAATGGGTACCTGACATTAGTTGGGGAAAGTAGAGGCAGTTGGTCATTGTGCTGACCACATAATATGACACCCTTGTTAACTGAAGGCCACAAAAACAGATAACCTTTACATCATCTGCCCTAAATACCACAAGGTCTCAAAGGGGGGAACATTTATAATCAATTCACTCTTCAAGTTTAATGATGTGGATTCTTGAAGCTCAATTTTTACTTTGTACAAAAGCTACATGGTAGATGACCTGAAACCTCATATTGTGGATTCCTGAAATTTTCTTAGCTTCCTGTAAACTATGAAAAGGTCATCTTATTTGCTTTGTTTCCCATGGTTGTTCCCTGTGTCTACACTGTTACGTTAGTTATTATAACCTTGATTTGAATGTTCTCTATGACAAATTGAGTATCCCATTTCAATATATATATACTAGCATGGATTGCAGATAGTGATCTCTTCTTTGTCATATGCAACATTAGTGTATGCCTAAGATTGGGTTCTAGGATTGGGTGACTGTGACTGTCCTCATGCACTAAAACATGCTGACATTATCGCTTATTGTGTCATTGTTAATGAATGTACATAGTTTTTCTCATACTAGTAAAAAATGTCACGTAGGTTGGTCTCAAAATTTCTCTCGATTACATCTCCCCATCTCTCTTATTGGGGCTTCATCAAGTCCAATTTTGGTTTCTTATCTCATATGTTAAATTACAGACGTACCATCCAAAGAGAAGATAATTTTTTAAGAGTATAGAATCTGGGGACTGTCTGGTCATGTGATATGTGCTCTGGACTGTTGACTTGATGGCTGTAGCTTTGATTCTTGGCTACTGCCCTTCCCCTTGCTGTCATATGGCAGGTTTTGTCTAGGATGTAATAATCTTTAGTTCTGAAGGAACATCCAAAACATGTAAAACAAAACTAAACAGCTCTACATAATTGTCTCATTCTAGTACATCAACAGGTTACTTCTGACCTGTGTTAGTCTTGTGCTAAAAATCTCATTTCCTGTTAGTTCCAAATTTTTAGTTCCATCTCTGATTTCTTCTCTCCATCTCTCCCACTGGGGCTTCATCAATTTTATTAAGAGTATTGAATCTGCTATTTTGTGACTTCATTTCTCAACTCATTTCAGGTGACATTGTACCAGCAGCTCTCAGCATAGACCCTGAAGAACTTGCTGCCATGCCTCCCTGGAAGCGAGAACTCTTATTTAAGAGAGACAAAGTTCCCATAACATTTTCGAATGAGTTCAACCCAGAAGACGAAGAAGCATCCGCACAAGGAGAAGAGAATTCAGCAAGTTGATCTAGTTTGAAGAGAATGAATGAGCTTGGTTTTTTTTTCTAATTGTGCTGCTGACAAATATGGCATGAATGATACTGTTCTAGAGTGTACCATGGTGCTGCCCTGAAGATTCAACTTTCAGGAATGGCTATGAAATATTTGATATCATCCTTCATATGAAATCATCTATATTTATTTGGATCTAATTTACTTTTAGCAAAAAGTAATGCCCTAGCTTTTCCTTTCCTATTAAATTTTTCTTTTTTTTTTTTAGATCATTTTATAACTTACCAAATTCTTCTTTTGCGATGAAACTCACGATGCTGTATTCTATTTTAAAAATAACAGAGAAACAAGGTGCCAAAATTTAAATGCATAATTTGTACTATTTATATATCATTGATATGCTTCAGTTTATTTTTGTTGTCTGCTGCCTAGTTATTATGTTATAAATACTTTGATGACATATGGTTCACTGGTTCTCACAATAATCCGTGTCTTCAAGACAAAGCAAAGTATTATACATTTTTTCACTTAAATTTCCATGTAAAGAATTTAATTTATCAAATCAGAGTTTTCAGTTTTTTCTTCAACAAATTTTTTAAAAAATTCAATCTAGAATATTAACCGAAATTTCTTATGTTTAACTTCTTAGCTTTGGACTTTGTAATACATCCCCATTTTAAAATGTGTAAGATTTACACTGGGAATTATTAGTTGGTAGACAATGTGTATCAGGTAATCTTAATTTTATGATATCCTTTTTTAGAGCAGTGGAATAGGTGTGCTCAAAAGCTAATTGAGTTTTGTTTTTATTCTATTAACATTATGTTATATAAAACTATTTAAACAATTGTTTTCTAAATTTTCAACATGTACAATTATTTTACAACTCTATTTTAAATCTATAAAGAGATAGACCTTGTCATGAACAATGTCATTTAATGTAAAAAAAAAAAAAAATTAAGTTGTAAATCATTCTGTTTTCTTCTGGAGACAATATTCAATTTAATGTTATTTGGTTATAAGTTTAACTTAACAGTTTTATTAATATTCTATAAATGTATTGGGAAACCTTTAAGATATTAAGATATTTTTGAATTCTTTACATTTTCAATGTGGAAATACATGGATGTGTCTTTCTTCTTATGTTGGATTGGAAAGATAAAAGTTTTTTCCTAAACTCCTACCTGACATGTATTAAATGACTTTTTAAAAACAGCCATCCCATGGCTAGAAGTCTAAAGTGAAGGGAAATTCACATTGGATATCTTCATACAATTGATAACAACCTAATAAAATACTCAGAAAGACACATTGATAAAGGCACATTCCTTGTTCCATATGCTAGGTTAAACCTATATGAATGCTCTTTCTTTCCTAGTGCTATTAGAGCATGGAATGGGTTGCCTGAGCTAGCCAGAAAAACCAATGACTTTGCAGAATTTCAGTGATTGGCTAACATACATGACTAGATTGACCTTGAAACACGCCTAGGACGTAATCATCTTCTTTTTTCGTGTAACGTTGGTATTTTATGAGATAAGATATAGTCTTATAAACAAAATGAATCATAAAACAAAAATCACAAACATTTTAATTTAGAGGATAAAATGATAACTTGTGTTTAATGCACAATATCTGATAATCTGGTACAACCATGCTTATATTCGTTTGTTTATTCCAATCATGTTATGATCTAGCAATTAAAAAATCTCTGAATCAAACTAATTTAGCATTATACTTATTAGGAAATATTTCCTTTGGTTTGCCAGCATATAATTTAAAAATATTATCATGGAATTCTAACTTCACATGCTGTTTTGTTGGCTCCATAAAATATATTTTTATTTCTCTCTACCTTGTCTGTTACCATTAAATTTATATAAATGTTTTTTGGGTAACCTTTACCTGGAGCTTGTTTAACTCTTTAATTACTACAGTGCAAGAAAAGCAGGTCCATAGATTGTAATTTTTGGAAAAGAGTTAAGGGTTATATTTGTGTATTTACATTTTTTAAATTTAATTTATTGACTTTATATCTTTCCTTTGTGATATATATTAGACATTTTTTGCCTAGCTACATACATTGTGTTCTGCTAAGTTGTTTTTTTTTTAGTCAATTTTTCTGGCTGTAGTTCTTTTGTATACAAATATTTAGTGTTCTTTTCATTTTGCTAGTCATCTGTTGTTTGTTTTCTTTTGATTTAATGTAAGCTGTGTTTCTTTTTTCCAGCTTTATTTCATTATATGATTATTATATTTATATATTTCTTATATATATAACTGTTATTATAAAATACAGTTCAGTCATAATTCTTTAAAGTTTACTGTATGATAAAAGTAGTATCATGAGAAGTCATTGTTTTTTGTTTAGTGTGTGCCCAGTACGATTGGAACCAATCTGCAGCATTTACTGTAAGTGTCCCAACAGATGTAATGGTCCTGATTGATGTACTTCACCATTGGATGTACGGTAGTGTGCTAAGGGATGTACTTTTCAGTGGTTGTACTGTGCTAAGTGATGTACTTTTCCAGTGGATGTACTATGCAGATCTACTTCACTGTGCTAACTGATGCACTTCTCCAGTGGATGTACTGTGCTAACTAAGATTTGGTTTGCTGTAATTATTACAGCTTTAAAGATCTTAGCCAAACACTTGACAAGATTTGGTCTTTAAATTTGGCAATTTTGTGTTTTTGAACAAGGTAAAGATGTATTTAAATTATAAATCAATAAAATGCCTCATGTTTCCTTTTGTTACTTTTAAGGTTATAGAAAAAAATGAAATTTTTCTCTTCAAATTAGTTAGTCTGCTTCTCAGCAAGGAATCTCACATTTTTTTTAGGGGGGGGGGGGGGGTAGACTTGCTTGCAAGGTTGTGTAAAATGTTTGTACAAAATTCTGTGAAGTAGTATTTTCCAGGGTCTTAAGTGTATATAGTTTGTTTGTCGATTTATAAACACAAATACCCATGCAAATTAAAGTTTTAAAAAGTATAACTAGTTTTGTAATTGTTGAGTAGCTTTTACATTATTCATTGTCAATTTACATTTTTTTTTTTTATTCTTTGCATTTAAAAACAGTAAAAGAATTTTTTTTTTACTCTTTGTTGGTAACTAAGTATTTTGTCATTTATCTTAAAACTCTTTTTTCTAATAATCAAGAACTCTTATAATTTATTAAAACTGTTGCGTTTGCAACACTTTATGTAAAAATAATGGAATAGATTTGAATTTTTATTGTATCATACTAGTGCAATTAAAAATGATCTTGTGTTTTGAAAAAGATTAGCTTGTTGAAAAATGAAGCAAATTACTTTATGCATGTAAATGAAAGATACTGTTATGATAATTTTTTTTTTATTTAAAAACTTTGTAAACTTGTTATTCAAGTTAAGTTTCATTTGGTACTGAATTTCATCTTACCAACTTGTCATCTTAAATTCCAACCAGTTCAAGGTCAACACCTTACTGTGCTCTTAATCTAGGATTGGCATACTACAGGAAACCCATTTAGTCTTCTGAGTGTATCTATAAACTTAATGTTTAATTGACTTGTACCATCACGGAACATTCAGCGTACTAACTTTTCAGGAACAAAAAAGGCACAGTAAAATGAAAGATTTTTTTTGACAAGGTTTAATGCAGCTATATTTGTCTTCCACTAAGTCTAGCATTTATTTGTTCCACTTCTCTGTCTCGCTGAATGAATGAACATTTTTAACATTGATATGAAGTTCAGATGAAACATTCAAACTTTATAAATATTGAACTCACTAAGACAAACAACTGGGAATATCAATATGCATCCTTCAGTACTATTATATTTTAAATTTAAAGTCCCTGTCGGTGTGAGTATAGTTTTAAATATTGGATTTAATTATTTATAAACTATGTTATGTCTGACTAAAGAAGTCGCAAATAAACTAGTTATGTAGGGTGTTCTCGGTCATGTTTTTTTAAAAAGTTTTCTATCTACATTCTTCCATCTTCAGCATGAGCAAAAGGAAATCCACATTTGCTCTCGTCAACCTCATCTCATGAAATAAAAAATTTTTATACAACTTTTCAAATATAATGAGTTGCTGGATTTTCCTTTTTTGTATATGTGAAGATTGCCAGTTTGAATAACTGTTCATTTGTGAGAGAGCTTAAAAATTGTTTCCTTTAGATGTGCCTCTGTTTTATGAGGCAGGGCAGAGCTATTGTGAGGAACAGCATGCTATTTTTCCATGGCACTAGCTCCCAAAAGTCATCTAGCTGAGCACAAAACAATGTTGGCTAGAATTAAAAGAATTTGCCATGGCTTCATGACTTTCCTATTTTAGGATTCTTTCTTATGGGCTTCAGAATTTCTGTTATTCCAAGAGACAGCAGAGTTTCTCGCCAAGGCTCTACGGGACTGATCCAGCCTTGACCCCAATTGGAGTTCATCTCAGGTTGTTCCAAGAGAGTTTTGCAGAGAATTATTTCAAGGATTAATGAAGAGTGCAGTAGCTCATGTGGCACTAGAACAGTGGTTCCCAAACTTTTTTGTCTTGTAGACCCCTTTGGGTCTATATAGACCACTTTGGGAATCAATGCTTTAGAAATACCTTTATTGGAAAAAAAAACAACCACATTTTAAAGAAGTTTTTAAGCTCTATTTAAATTGCTTCTTACCTAATGGTCCATCTATAGATAAATGTTAATGAGAGTGTCATGTGGCCATCACAGCTACCAAATGTTTTTACTTTTTTTTTTCCTCCAGCTGTGGGCAAGTATAATCATATAGAGCTGATTCACCAACAAGGACCTCCCATATAAAATCATGTTTACAAGCTAAAATGCCCTGTTCAGAACTCTAACCTGAAACTTTTGGATCAACATTAAAGACTTCAGTTCTTTAAATACATTCAATTAAAAAAAAACTGCTTCTGTTTCTTCATCTGTTTTTTTATTATTCTTTACAAAGCAACTACAACTCACCGAGATGGTCACAACAAAGTCAAAATATAATGGTGTTAGGATTATGTTACATATTTCACAAATTGTAAGACAGAACATCTAGTACATTCAGGGGACACAGTTAAACAAAAAAAAAAAAAAAGCAAAATAGAAACAGTGATGATAAGCCCTTGATAAACTGAGACAAATCTGACAAAACAGTGATGTGGAGATGATAAGTCTTTGCTAGACTGAGTTATGGTAAATTGTACAATATCTATTAATATCAGTTTTACTCAATGTCTGGAGGGGAAAAAATACACCAGAAGGTCTCTTTTATAATATGCCATTATCAAAACAAATATCTTCCGACAAAGAAAAACTGTTAATGAACATATTTGTTGTTCTTTACCCATGGGTTCCGAAAGTTTCTGAAAATACAAAACTACAGTTCGGTTTGATTTCATGTTTAAAAAACAATAATATCGTTCTAGAATATGAATTTCAAAAAAATGAAAACACACAAAGATTGTCAAAAAGTAGTGAAAATTTGTTTTCTTAAATTACTTGATTACTAAAAGAGTTACACTGTTCACTTTAAATCAGAACAAATTCAAGTGATATGAAGTACACACAGTTGAAACTGTTTCCAAGTGGCAGGAGATTTTTCTTGTTCCTGTTTTAAGATATTTTGGTTTGAGGGAAAAGTTAACAAAACCAAACTTACTAAAGACTTTCAGGTGTGATACTAAACTGAAAGTGATGGCATAATGTGTCCCTGCAAGTGAAGACATCACATTTCACTATCAAATAATCATCTTACATGTGTTCTAAACATCAGGAGTAGTGTTGATAATACTTTTGCATAGATGATATAGCAGCCTATGTAGATTCAAAATGTTCACAATCTTGGCTGCAATGTGAACTCTTAAGAACACAATTTGAACAGATACAGAACAGATGTCCAACTAATATCATTTGTATATTTCATCTAAATAAAAATGGTATCAGTGTTAACTCATTGATTTCAAAGAAACTGTACATTTTTCTAGTGTTAATGTTTCATCAATAATTTTTTTTTGTTTAAAGTTGGAAGAATATTCTGTCCAAACTCAAAAAGTTTTAAGATGACAAAATCAGATTGGCAAGTACTGAGTTAGACTATGGCACACATTGAATCACAAAGAATAGAATCAAAACACAAGTCAACATGGGAATACATTTAGCCACATTAATGTTCAGGTAAAACAAAAAAACATTTACCAATCCCTTTTGTACAAATATGTTGTGTTGGTATTTCTAATAAACAATTCCAGTGCACTGAGATAATTGCAGTGCACTGAGATGATTCTTGTGCACTGTGTGATACTGCACTGCGATAATTCTAGTTCTGATATAGTTCCAATACACTGTGATCAGTTAGCTTAAGATTTGTCTAAAAAAACAAACAGCGCCTATTTACTAAAAATGTTAAACAAAAAAGCAAATATAAATCAGATTGTTAGACAAATTTGTAATTTGAGAAATGTCAATTGTATAGTTGCATAATAGTTTCAATATCTATTTTATGTAATCTTTATCTGCTGAGAAACTTACCTTATGCCAATTTTATGGGATTCGATTATATCTTTAAAAAATGAATGGATTTTATTTAATTGTTGTTACAGCGCCTTGAGCCTACATTTTGTTTGTTAACAGCGCTTTATAAATAAAATTACAATTATTGTTTATATTTCTGAATTCTTTTTACCTCCAGAACAATGCTTTCAGTTTATTATTGATACTTTAAAACTCAAGTTCATTTTAATTAGCCCCTTATATAAGTGACAGACATTCCTTCAAAAATAGAAGATAATTACATCCTAGAAGTATCCATGTGTTAATGTTTTTTACTTTTAATCCAGAACTCTTGTGTCCCAATATGAAACATCTGAATGTTTTGTTTCAACCAATAACAAAGTGTTTAGGTGTTTCTTTCCCTAAGGTCAATGTTAGTCAACAATCACAAAGAGGAGTGGCTCAACCAATGGGCATCAGGAAACACAGGCAGAGCCATGTACAAAGAAATGACTACGCCTAACAAACTGGACAGTATTAACTTCCTCCCCCGCAAAGAACAATCTACAATTTTCCAACTAAGAACAGGACACACACCACTATTAAATTACCACCTGAACAAAATAAACTCCACACAACTCCCCCTTTGCAGACACTGAGCCCACCACTTTGAAACTGTAAACCATATCCTCTTTGAATGCCCCTCACAAATCCAACTTAGGCAGATCCTACTTCCACTACAGCTCAACATAACCAACACCCTGTACAGCAGTGCTGAACAATTGAAAAAAAACAGCACACTCTTTTTCCTTGGCACAGTCTGCAAAAGAGCGCACAGCTCAGCAGCAATAAAGCTGGCTAGAAGAAGAAGAAGGTATTTCTTTCATTCTCTTTTTCTGGCGGTCGTGACATGAGATATTTATTTTTATTTTTTATCATTTATTTTTTTAAAAAAAGATGTAAATTCTATTCAGATCTTGTCTTACCAACTTTATGAAAATGTTAGGATGATGACAGTTTTTATAAGATCTTTCAGGCTATGTAACCCTGATTACTACTGACCACTGTTTTATGTTAAAATGCATACACAAAGTAGAAATCATTATTAAGCTCATCATATTCTTATAATACAGTGAATGCCTCAAACCCCAAGTATTATAATACAAGACAGTACAGCCACTGATCGGAACAAAAATATGGCATGAAGAGCCTAAATTTAAACAAATGTACAGTAAAAACGCTATCGTCCACATGAGCTAAAAATCTTCCTCGATGTATGCAATAAATACCAACAGTTCAAAGAGGACTGAGTATCAGAGAATAGAGACTTGACAAATTTTTCGATGTTTTGTACCCCCCCCCCCCCCTCCGTGTCTAAAGGCTAAAAAAGAGATAAAAAATTATGATGGAGTTGAGGTTACCAATGCAGCACCTGATCACCAGCTTCTAGGTCCAAGGGAGAGTTTTAAAAAATTTTGTCCATGACTCTTTTAACTCTTTTAGAAACAACATAATCAAAAGATGGTACCACAAGCCCAGGAGCCCAAAATTCAAATCCAAGTTACAGCACAGGGAAAATTGGTATTGATAAATCTGCTCAACAGAGTGATTATGTAAATAAAACAGAATTATTATTATGAATAATACATAACCAAAAGTATTAACAAGAAAAAAATACATAAAAACAAAAAATGTTAATTATTATTATGTCATTTAGAAACCTTTGTTGCCACTATTACAAGATCACAGCAAAGCCAAAAAGAAAGAATAAAGATTATGCCAAAAGGCTAAAAAAAAAAAAAAAGTCTTTATTATGTAAGTAATTTAGATTTTGAATATTTAAAAACATTTCAATGTTATTGTTATTGCGATCTAAAAGAAATCTTTGGATCTTTCAATATCATCATTATGAAAAACCAACAAAGTATTTAAACAATATTTTAAGAAAATTGGTTTGTATAAAAAAGAGATTTCATTTATACTTTGTATAGAAGCTGAAATAGAGATTCTTTAAGACAAAATTCTTTTGCCTTTTGAGTCATAAGCACAAAAGAAAACAAAAAATAAAAACAACTGTGAATCAATATGTCATTGTAAATCAAATCAACATTGTTTAACATTTATAGAATAAGAAAACAAAATTGTGTCAAGTTCAGATGAACAAAAAAAATGTTGAAAGAATGACATGATAACAAGATTATGCACACCTGGTACATTAAATGCTACAATGCTAATTTGTATCCAAGATAATGCTGAAGTTCAATTTGTGTCAAACTTTCAATAACAATCTTTTTAATCCTGAGAGTTAAAGGCCATTTTGAATGGGGTAAGTTCAAATCCAAGAATTCTTAAAGGCTACTAAAAGAAGCAAATAAAGGGAATATGTATCAACAAAAATCAAGCATTTCAAAGTACCATTTTTTTCTTTAAATTAGATGTTTTATGATACTTAAAACTATGTTTGATAGAAAATCTTTCATACTATGGAGGTAGTCTAATTAACTAATTGTATTTTACTTCTTGGAAATGTTTCCACTATTTGAATAAATATTCAATGACATTAAAATCCAATTATAATAGCTCCAGTCAGACTGACTATGCTCTTAAAATTGCATGGTCTTAGCTCCAGTAAGAAAAAAACATATTTTTATTGATGTAGGTAAAGTACAATCAAAGTATGGTGCAGATTTTAATATTGAACCAAAACATAAAAATTACAAAATAAAAGGAAAAACATGTTCAAAAGAAGAAGGCAAAAAGAAAAAACCAAAATGTGCATCAAGTCTTGATACAACTAATTATATTTACTTACAGGGAAACAATAAATCACACAGTAAAAGGAATTTCAGGAGAAGACAACTGACAAACCTCTTCAGCAAAACTGAACAAAATCAGATTGATAAGCACAAAAATGAACATTTTATGAAGAATAACCTGACTCCATAGAAAGATTGTAAAAATCCCTTAACATCACCTATATAATTATTGAACATTCACTTTTACAGTTTTTAAACAGCTACTTACTGGTACTTTCTATTAGCTGCCACAGTGTTCATATCAAAACAGATTTGATGGTAGTATAAAAAGTCAGCCATTGCAGAAGTTAAGACTAGGAAACTAATCTCTTAAAAAAAAACGTACAAGTTCTAAATTGAATGTAAACCTATTATCTAAGTCCTAAGTTAAAAGTAACCCTACTATCTTAGCCCTAAGTTAAAAGTTAACCTGCTAAGTTAGTCCTAGGTTAAAAGTAAACCAACTATCAAAAAGTGGTTCTCAATCAATGGAAAAGTTACCCTAAATACAAAACAAGAAATCTAAACTAGTCCAATGAATATACTTTGAAAATATCAATAGCAAATAATATACAAAACAATAAAAATGTATGTATTGCACTAAAAATTAATACCTTTATTATAACAAAAATGTTTTAAAATGGAAAAATGAAGCCAAACAATGTTGATAAAAGTATCGAAAATAATTCCTTTTAAAATTGTCTTTACACCTTAACCTTTTCTATTTTAAACTTATTTATTTCTATTGTTAAAAAAGGGTTTTTTCTAAACTCTTTACTCCTACAATTGAAGAGTTACAAAACACAAATTAACAGCCATAGTCGTCTTAATTTCTC